GTAATTTAATTACTATGTGCATAAATTTCGGTTTGCAGGTCTTTGCCCCACAACTACAACATTTCAGCATCTTCTATCGAAAGATGCTGTGGATAGAAGATGGTAACTTCTTCAGTTTTTAACATAAAAAAATAAATAAATTGATATAAAATTTATTGTTAATTTTTTATTTATTGTATTGTATTATTGTAAATATTTTTTAAATAATTACTTTTAATTCCTAACGCCATATCGACTTATTACCTAAAGAGGAAAATACTTTTTTCTTTTGGACACAGGGAGGGGTCTTTGTATTAAATATAACACAAATAACAATTTGTTTGTTAGTTTGAGTTTCCTTTATGAATAGGACCTTTAATTTAGTTTTATAGATTCAATATATTTTGAGTTCAAAAATTGTGTAAAATCAAATAAATTTTCTTTCTTTGATAACGAAAAAATTATTATCAAAAAATTTTAATAATATGCAAATTTCACTTTCTAAAAATATTTTGAAAAAGTTACTGTAACTAAAAAAAAAAAGTGCTACAATTTTGAGAAAAATTTAAAAAAAAAACACAAAATAAATAAATAAATAAATTAAAAAAAAAAACAAACAATTTTGTTGGAAATTTTAAACCAAAAANATAAAAAAAAAAAAAAAAAATCATGTGCTTTGGGAAAAAATTTGCACCTGAGAATTTTTAGCACTCCTAGTCTTACTCTAGTTATAGACCTCTCAGAACTTTCAAAAGTAGGTCAAATCTAGTTCTTTTTTTGCTTTTGTTTTTAATACTTGGATTGACTGCCCTTATTGATTATAAATGGTTTATTTTAAGTGGTTGTGGTTGCCCATGGAGTTAGTAAAGTTAAAAATTATGAGTTTTTCTCAAGCACTGATGACACAATAATAACTCTAATGGTGCAGTTGGTTAAAGCGTCACTAATACAGCTGATTGAAGAGTTGGGAATAATGAGTTTGATCTTCACAGTCGAGAAAACAATAGCAGCAAGGTGCATGTTAAATCTGTAGTCTGGCTGAAAGTCCTCTTATTTCTTGTGGTGTTGAACTTCGGAGAGAAGGGTACCAGATCAGAGGCACTACACACATTGTATGACCAGGACGAAAATTACATGGCATTTGTACCATGGCCATTAAAAGATAGAGCCCAAAAAATGGGGATAGGTCCTTGGTCAGGGTTGGGTGATATGATGACACAATACTAAAATTTATCCCATATCAGCATGTCAGAAGTCACAAATTTATGTAATGTGATGTGCACGTAATGTATATTTCATGAAATTTTGATCGAAACAGGAAAATAGTTCGAGCAACCCTGTTTGATTCTATTTATATTAACTAACTGGTTGAATGCCCAAGCAATATACAGGGTAAAAAAAAAAAAAAAAATGTATAACACCATGCAATCATGTACAAAACTAAAAGGTTTCATTAAACTGAGAGAATATAAAAAATTAATTTTTTTCTTTTTATTTGTTGCCTTTCTTGACTTTATAACATTAAAAACAGAATTTAAATTTATCAAAAGCAAGATTATTAGCTTTACACAGTATTATTGGACCCCTTTATCAGAATTGTGGTGATACAGCAACATTGTCATAGAACAACATAGAGTTCTAGCCGAAAGATTTTTATTTGGGAAGCAAAAAAGTTTGGTTTTCATATCTGTCGAATTTTTCAAAGGAGGTTTCTTTTCCCTTCTTTTTTGCCGAATTATTTTCAAAAAAGGCCTTTCACAAATGTTAGAGGGGGAAATTCCTGATTTTTTTACTTTCCTTTGAGAATAAAAAAATTCTGCATAAACTGGTTTTAATTAGAACTTCAGAGATTCATATTATAAAAAGTAATTCCAAAATTAAGAAAATAGTGAGCTCTACAAATATTTTTTTAGAACAGGAGAATGCCAATAATATTTGAATATGTATTCTTTTATATGCCGATTTAAATAAAAGATTCGTGCATCTATAATTAAAAAAAATTATATACTGTTCTATTTGGTACACGAAGGCTCTTTTTTTGTAAACAGAAAGCACTTCTGTTACTTTAAATTTGAAATATATATTTGCTACTATGCAAAATGTCTTTCAGAAAGACTGAAAAAATTTTGCCACAAGGCATTCTAAATAGAATTATTGGTAAAAATAAAAAACATGCTATGTTTTGTATTTGTACCATACATAGTATCTAAGAAAAGAAGAAAAAAAGCTAGAACTATTTCATAGTTTGCCTTGTACTGGTGAGATGCTACTTAATTTGCTTAGTGTTGTTAAAGACTTATTTCTCTTAATTTCTGTCTTTGGAATTAGATTAAATACTATAATAAATTTGTGATAAATATGAAATGTCTTTACTTTATAACTTAATGGCTTGTTAATTTGATTAAAGTATTCCTGGAAGATTGGTTTTTCTCTAATGTTATTTTTGAAACTAATTCAAAATTACAGAAAAAAAGTAAGTAGGTTGACATTATGTGACCCACAAAACTAAAACCCATTTTGTTTTTTAATAAAGTTTCGGTTTAACAGAAGAAACTAAGATGATTTATTGTTCAATTACAAATATGGGGCAAAGTGAGCAGGTTCTGTGGCAGAAATTTTTTCGAGCGATCTGCGACAAAACTCTCTAGCCCTAATATCTTTCCGCAATATACTTTTAGGGGAAATTTCCGTATCAATATCTGTCGCACCAACTACAATCGCCTAGGTGCCAAATAGATTTTAAACTTGCAATTTTTAAAAAAATAAAATATGTATATGTTTGCCCGGGGGTGGCTACGAGTTACCGTATATTCCGACGCATAACGCGCACCCGTAATTTCCAATAACTTTTTTTAAATTTTAAGATATACTTTTCGTATAACGCGCACGAAAATTTGGATTGTACATGTGCAATATCTCGTCTAGTATCTATAGAAAACCAGAAAGCCTTTTAGTGTGGGACATGTTTTGGTCCCACCTTACAGATAATACAAATTTTTTTTTGAAAGTATGTAACACCGATATGGCAGTTATTCCGGGTGGATTGACACCATTAGTTCAGCCATTGGACGTCTGCTTAAGCAAACCATTTAAAGCCAATTTAAAAAAACAGTGGAACACTTGGATGCTGGAGGGCGATAAAATCTTTACGAAAGGAGGACATATACGTCATGCAAGTTTGGAAACAGTGGATATTAAAAGTATGGGATGAAATTAAGCCTGAGATGGTTGGAAAATCATTCAAAAAATGCAACATTTCAAATAATCTGGACGGATCAGAAGATGACTGTTTATTTATGGATGAGGGTAACACAGATGATGAAGACGAAACAGATTGTGATGACATGCCTGAAGAAATAACGGAAGATGAACATAATGAACTATTTACGTAATAACGAAAATTAATAAAGTATATAGGTAAAGGTATGTAATTTCTTTAAAATAAAAGTATTTTTCTACATTTAAATTTTTTTAATCTATAATTTTTTATATTCGGCGTATACCGCGCACCCGAAAAGTGCGCGTTATACGCCGGAATATACGGTATATCTTCCGAGTTAAACCCTTTCTGTGATGCTTTTTTTTAGTTTCTTGCGGGGCAATGCCCGGAAGTTTCCAAGACTTGGCGATTATTCTGCCACAGATCATGACACGGAAATCTCCCCTACTTTTAATAATAACAACAAACATTCAGGTATGTTACTGATTTATAATAACAATAGTGCTGTTTACAAAAAAAGAAAAAATAAATAAATATATAAATATTTTTTATAGGCGGGGTGGGGGGAGACGTAATAATTTCCTTTTTGCAATTTGTAAGTAATCACAATAAAAAAATAATTAAAAATCATGAGATCCGTAGTAGTAATTGCCTAAAAAAAGATCGAAGACGAAATCATGCGAATCCCACTTCTCAAATGCGTGTTTTATTTTGAGATTAGATCAAATGCACAATCCAAATTTTCTATATTGTTTAAAGTATAACGGGATATTTAAAAACGATGTGAAAATCAATACCAATAACCGACGTTTCGAAAGAAAAATCATTCTGCACGAAGTTTGTAACACTCTGTGACAATGTTGCCATAATTCAATTCTACGTTGTTCAATTCTGCCACGGGGTGAGCAGGGATGAAGTCCTCGATTGATATAAAAAAGGAAAATATAAAAATAATCACATTTTTTATTTGTTGTCAATCAGTCAAATGATTAAGGAAAAAGCAAGACTAATTTAAATTAAGGGTTTACTATTCTTTTTCTAATGAATCATTCAAAAGTAATATGAAAATGTTCTTAAAAATTTGAAGAAACACATAAACACGAAAAAAAATTGAAAACAATAATAGTCAAATAGAAATTTGCAGACATATTATGAAGTTAAATGAATGAAAATACTTATGAAGTAGGGAATTTTTTCAGATGATACAGTAAACTTATTCACATAACTTTAAATCCACAGGTGGTATTGGCACTTTCATTTTCAAAGCTTCTAATCGTTCACACTTTCTTATACAACTTCTAATAGGATCAGCTAATACCTACCCCAGCCCACCAATTAGAAAACTGTGGCATGAGGGGTCATTTAGCAACCTATCAAATTTCACATAGCCCCATATCCAATTCTATATAGGTGGATGTCTGAATACAAAAAAATCCGTAGCCTTTTATACGTACAGAGCCTTTATAGGAGGAAATGAAGTTTCACACATACATGATCATTTGGGAAGATAAAAATAATTATGACTTACTACATCCAGAACCGCTGATGGATTAAATCAACTCTAGTTCCCTGGCATGTGCTTAAAAATTAAAACTTAGAAAATTTGTTATAGCATACATTTTTTGATCAATGCCCTTGCACATCAAAAGCAATTCAGCACATAACAAACAATTTCAGCATACCTATCTATTCAAATATTAGATGAGTAAACGAAACAGTATGGAGCTTGTAGACTGAGATAAAATATTTAAGCAATTAAGTATGAAAAGATGAGATTTAAATGAAAGACTTAAAGACATACCTGAGGTAGATTTGCTTGCAGCTGCCTTTGAAGTGAATCTCTTTCCCTTTCAACTTCTGAGAGTTTAGATTGGATTTCTTGCATACTCTCTTGCGTTTCTCTTAAATTTTCCATAAGCTTATCCCGTTCGTCCAGCATATTCACCATTAGTTGCTCGAAATTGGATTCATCATTGGTAAATTGACCACTCCGCTGCGATATACTGTCCTCCGAAATGGTAGGCATCACGTCACACATCATATTCCACATTTTCGTGTAATAGATTTTACTTTGGTAGCATTAAATTTAGTTCTTGAAGCTAATTACAACACTGTATTAATAGTAGGTGGACCACTTTAACACTCTATTGTAAAAAGAATGTCATTAAAAAAGCTCTGTTGTGTACAAAAAAGATCGAAGCCTACATTAGTGATGTGCACTTGATATAAAGTGTTTTTATTAATGATTTATTTAAAACAGATGTATAAATGCGGTTCCAATTAAAATTTTTGCATGCTGTCTCCCATTAATATACATGGAAATAATAGTTGCAGTTTTATCCAAACTATGAGTACAGATGCTTTGTTTACCCAAAGCATATTTACTGTAGCTAATATAACGATGTTTATTTAATTCAAACATATGTATGAGCTTTAATTTACACTCACCAAAATAAAAACACCGCACACTCGGTACTCGCCCAAACACTTTCTAAGACAGCCACCATTTTTTGTTGAGAAAGAGCTGCCAAATCTTGAAACTTTCCCATGATTCAACTCACGTAACTGTACGAAATATTCATTTTTGAGGACAGGCCCCAAATTTTGTTAAAATACATAGTGATTTAGTAACTTGGCTTAATTAATATAAAATTATGGAAATTCTTGAAAAAATGTTCTTTTATCAAAGAGAAACTTATTATATATGAAAAGAAATGCCTTTATGCTTAAAAGACCAAAAAGTATTTATAAAGCTGCATTCTTGTTGTCAAAGTTCCTCGATTTAAATGCAAAAGCGTGAGCATCTGATTGGGCACTTTTAACATATCACGTGACACGCGTAATACGATTTTAAGTGCGCCATCTTATGGAGATTTGGTGAAACTGCAAAAGAGGTTTTAATATTTACATGTTTTTTACTCACTTTAAGATATTTTTGTTTCCTCAATATTTAATGTACTATCTGCCACAGTATTATTTGCGATTGGCATTGTTAACTAATCGATTTTTGTTTTAATTCACGTCTCGCTGATTCATATATGCATTGATTTCCTTTTGTCCAATTATTTGTTCGAAATAGAAAAAGAAAATACAATAAAAATGCTTTTATATAAAATTTTGACAACGAAAAGACATGGAATTTTTTCCCTAAAATAAACAACAATCAGCATTTATATAATTATTTCTTATTCATAATTCCCATAAATTAATTTTAATTAAGAAAAAAGGTTCATTATTTTCAATTTAATATAATTATGCTTTTTGAAATTGAAATGAAATTAAAAGCTCTTATTCAACTTTCAATGCATTAAAAAAAGAGTATAGTTTTTAAATGAAAGGAATGAATAAATAAATATATTCATTTATTAGAGAATAACATATTATATATGCATAATAAATAACGAATATTCAATAATAAATTTCCTGCAAACCTTAAAATGTTTTTTTTTAAAAAGCAAAATAAATAAAAACCATATGATATTAAAGTTTACAAAAATTAGAACACGAATGCTTAAAAAAATACCATAGTATAACTTCTAAAAATGTGTTTCACTATACATCGGGGGAGAATTGGGTATTTAATTTAAAATATGTGTTAAAAATTCCAAATGATATTGTTAATTAAAAAAGTAGTGAGTGTTTCTACGTACATATTATTCTCTAATTTATATATAAAAGAAATGGTATGGATTGTTGGCAGTGTAAAGCTAAGCACAGAGGGCGCTGAGGATTAAAATTTGTCGTAAGTGACTCGTCCGAGTGATTTTTAAGCCACGACTTGAAAAAGCGTGCCATCCAATAATATTATACTTCTAGTGTTCTCAATATAAAATGTTGTTTCAATTCAACTTTTAATAAAACAAATAATAAATGAATTCTGCAAGCCTGCTATGATGCTACACAAAAAATAACATCCTGTGCTATTTTATAGACAAGTATAGCCAATTGCCAAATAAGGGATAACACTCAAAACGTAGCAAACCTTGCTCTTTATATCTGCTGCCATATTAATTTTCTTAAATTTGTTTTATGCTCACGACCTGTTCGAATTTATAAATCAGAGAAAGCTCTTATGAATTGCGAAATTACGCGTACGCACATTTTAACCCACATTACAATAATAAAGCTTCATAGAATATTAAGTCTGTTTAAACATCGCCTCGTAAGCATAGCATAAGCGAAGGGATACACCAGAAGTTTTCTGAATTGTTTCTGGTTTTAAGAAGCTTGTTATTGTTTACAATCAGTTTACAATCCATTTAAAATAAGGTAAACACACAACATGTAAACATATTTTTGAAAACAGAAAATTATATCTCTTACCATCAGTCAGACGGGAAATTTGGTAATGGGAATAGAGTTTTGAAAGCAAATAACGAAATATAAATTATCTAAATTATTTTTTTATTTGGAGAAAATTTACTCATTTTGGCTTTAACAAGATCGAAATAAATAATTTTGAAGTGTAAATTAATAAAAGAAAAGTAAATAATAAGATCTTGAAGTTTATATACATCATTATTCTTAAGGGAGGAAACAAAATCTTTAATTGGTTGAATATTACAATGTTTATTATAATCTTTTGTCATATTCGAAATAAAATTTAGATTTAATTTGTCACTGTCAGGAGAGTTTCTTTTACTTCTTGATAGCCGTTCACCTTGATTTGTACGCTTATCTTTAATATGAAAAAGCGAATAATCTGAGTTATTAAAGTTAATCTGTGTATGTTGGAAGGTATCGTTTAGCCCACACGGCAAAATTGTATTGTATAAAAGCATGAAGTAATTTTCTTTTTGTAGTCAAATATAAATCTTCTACTATATCTAAAATATTAATTTTGATACTGTTAAAATTATGTTCTCTAAAATGATTCAATTACAGGATATTGATAATTTTGTTACTGTTTATATCAGAACGATGTTGATTAATTCGAATGTTAAGTGAGTTACTGGTTTGTCCAACATATATTTTATATTACAAAAACCGCAGATTAACATATAAATAACATTTTTAATTTTACAAAAATATTTAGAGATATCGTTATTAATAATTGTATGTTTTTTGTCAATATTAGGGCAAGTTTTGCATCTTTTATCACCACATGCTTTATAAGACGGTAAAATTTCGGGTATAGAATGTATAATTCAAAAAAACTTTAGCTTTCAGAGTAGCAGGATGTCGATCTGAGGGTCCCCTCTGAATTAGGTTCTTCGTACGGGAAACAACATGAAGAATTATTTTAATATGTAACATATTTTTTACCAGACTCTAGATTGTCATAACTGTTTAAATCCATCTATAGAGCAACGTCCTAAAGGCACGCAACGTCCCAAAGACGCGAAATGAGAAGAAAGTATTAAAACGAAAACAGAAGGAGAACGAAAGTAAGTAAAAAATAGACAATATTAAGCGCTAAAGCTGCATTAAATATGATTCCTAAAACATAGCATAATAAATAAATACAAAAAGGACAACAGAAAAAAAACACGAAGAAAATTAAGAAAAACAGTACGTTTCATTTACTGCGCATTAGCTGCAAGCAAACCGAACTCATAAAATAAGTTCAAAATGTAGAGAAAACGTGGAAAAAATTACAGAACAATGAAACAAGGGGGAGGGGGAAAGAAAAATTATAATATAAATAATAAGAAACAGGAAAAAAATCCGAAATAAAGGGAAAAAAAATAATAAAAATCCAGAAAATGAAAGATATAATCTTTTCAACAGCTCACACGATTATGTCCGCAAAAAGGAGTGCTTGTATCAATATAGCCAAAGCAAAATATATCAATACAATAGAGTAAGAAACACTTAAAAAAATTTTTTGCAAAAAATTTATAACAAATAAAATCTAACACATTAAGTAAAAACATCACGTAAAAACAAAAATAAAATACAAAGAAAAAACAGAATGAAACAAAAAACCTATTCTATAAAACGAGTAGCGAATTCAAATGAACTTACATGAACGGGAAATTTTTCAAGAATGATTTAAAATATTTTCGTAACAAGATTGCCAGATTGTAATATATAAAACCAAAACCGCAAATTAAGGTGAAAGCGCAAATAGAGGGATTTTGTATTAAAGTGCGTTCTTACTGCAGTACTGAAGTGCGTTTGACTTGTTAGTTGCCAAGGATGGGCCCGAAAATAGATATGTGCAAGGTAATATTATACTGGATAATTTAAAGAAGATTAAGATTTATTTAATTAAGAAAAAAATAAAATGAAAAAGAGAAAGTTAATTTATTTAGAATAATATACAATTAACTCAATGATTTTATATAGAATTTAATTACTTCAGTTGGGTATCCATTTTTTTTAAAATCAAATTTTGAAAGAGTTTGTCTATTTGTTTTTTGGATAATTAAATATTACTACATATTTTTTAAATTCTATTCATTTCATTAAAAATAGTATTTAAATAGATGCTCCTAGAAACATTAGAATTCCAAGTAATTAGTTTATTTATATTAAAATTAAGATAATTTCTTTTATCGTATCAATCAACAAAGCAGATATTTTCTCATTTTATAATACCCAAATCCAAAAAATTGAAATTAATATTATATGATTACGAAGCAAGATTAATTCATCGGGCTAAATATTATTTAATAAAATAGTATTTTTACTTAACGTGTTCCATTTTATTTGTTATAAATTTCTTGTAAAATTTTTTTGGAGAGCTTCTCACACTATTATATTGATATATTTTGATATGGCTATATTGATACAATGTTAGAAAGCATTCCTTTTTACGGATATAATCGCGTGAGTTGATGAAAATATTATATCTTTCATTTTCCGGATTTTTATTATTTTTTCCCTATATTTCGGATTTTTTTTCCGGTTTCTTATTATTTTTCTTTTCCCTCCCTTTTTTCGTTAGACCACTTCGAAAAAAAAATGTTTATCTGCAACCAATTTTTATCACAACGAAGGGAGCATTCATTCATCGGTTCACCATCGAAGAATCACTAGAACCTGATTATTTACAGCGGAAAACTCAAATATCATGTTTGCTTTTTCTCGCGACGGCGATTGAAGGTACGGCTACTGCATTAGGTGCGAATACTCCTTAAGATTTTTGCTATATACTGTAGAACGATATATACTATATATACTTTGCTATATACTGTATACTGTAGATACTGTAGAACGAGAAGCAAATTTATCATTTAAATTGGATATAATTAATTTGATTGCAGGTAACAAACTGTCGAATTTTTCTTCATATAATAAGTATTTAAAATAAGTTATGAGTCGAATCATTCTATTAGCATTAGAAGTGTATTTTTCCTCCTTTAAAAATTATTAAGACCTTCTTCTCGTTTCTCAAGAAACGGTTGCATTCTGGCTGTACACAAAAAGAGAAAAAAAACATGTATGTTTTATTAATTTTCAGAGCTATTGCTTTCAATTAACTTCAAGATCAATTAAATTGCCTGGGATCACCTGGTTGGTAGAGCATTGGACCCCTGTCTAAGAAGGCTGTGAGTTCACTATCCATCGGCCGTAATAAATTGAAACCAGCAGGTTATTTAAATAGAAAAACAAACCCAATTGTTTC